GCACTTTTTGCTGTTATATGAATTAGTTCTCTTTCCAGGATATTTGTACTTTATGCAAAGCTCTTATCATATGCTTAGTTTTACTATTCTATGAAACGCGACTAAATAATAATTTGCACCTTGATTTTAACGAATATCCGTAAAGAAATAAAAACGCAGTTTTTTGTTTTAATAATCAATTTTATTCTCTGGGTATTTGCACTTGATACTTAGTTCCTTCCACAAGCTCTTTTGCTTTTTTATGAAATGTGACTTTAATTAAGTATCCATTACTTGCATCTTTTATTAGTGAATATCTGTGTAAAGCTAAAGGAATGCTTTTTCTGTTGTTTTTTAAGAACAAGACACTTAACGGGTTTTGAATTCTATAGAAATGTATTAAGTAGATGTAGAAGGCAAGTTTAAAAAATAATTTGATTCTGCACTCAAATCAAAGTTGTGGAATTAAAAAATTATCGATTATTTTAGTGATTTAATTTGATTGAAAAAGAATTGGAAGAAATAATAATTTAGTTTCTTTTAACTGAGAGAAAATATGTTATGCATATTTTTGCAATGTCACCCCGTAGTGCGGGATAACTTTAGTGATAATAGTAATGCGTAAGTTAAGTAGTAGTAGTTACGTAGTTATAGTATAAGTAGTAGTAGTTACGCAGTTATAGTAAGTTAAGTAGTAGTAGTTACATACTTATAGTAAGTTAAGTAGAAGTAGTAACGTAGTTATAGTAAGTTAAGTAGTAGTAGTTACGTAGTTATAGTAAGTTAAGGAGTAGTAATTACGTAGTTATAGTAAGTTAAGTAGTAGTAGCTACGTAGTTATAGTAAGTTAAGTAGTAGTAGTTACGTAGTTTCAGTAAGTTAAGTAGTAGTAGTTACGAAGTTATAGTAAGTTAAGTAGTAGTAGTTACGTAGTTATAGTAAGTTAAGTAGTAGTAGTTTACGTAGTAGTAGTTTACGTAGTTATAGTAAAGTAGTGATAATAGTGTTAATTTTTTTTTGTCTCTTACAAGTATATTTTAGATAAATTCCGTACATATAAATATAGAGCGTAACTCTAAACCAAAATTTTACAACAACTAATTAATCTTTTAAGTAAATTGGTAGATATCTCAAATTGAAAAGTGACATAAATAAACCAATTGATGGTAACGTATGAATCTTAATACTTATGAATATCTGTAAAGCAAATGAAGTAAAAAAAGAAGCTAAGTAAGTTTTTATTGTTTTATTAATCAGTTCTCTTTTTTGGATAAGAGAACTTTATACCAAGTTCTTGTCGCATGCTTAGCTTTACCATTTTATGAAATGTCACAGCAACTGTACTCAGTATTGTTAATCTTTCTCTTCATTTCATAATGTCTTTAAAGCAGAAATTGTCTTTTTTTTATTAATCAATTTTCTTTTTTGGATACTTGCGCTTTATGCCTAGTTCCTATTACACATTTAGTTTTACTATTCAATGAAGTATGGTTGCAACTGTTCTCAGTATCAATAGTTTGTATCTTAACATTAATAAATATCTGCAAAAGAAAAGAAATATCTCGTTTGTTGTTTTATTGATCAGTTGTTACATTGATTAGTTTTTTTAATGTTTGAATCTCACTGCTTAGAATTCAATTAATTAATCTTTACGAGAAAATCTTTTTAGATATTTTCATATCACCATCCGGGTATTTTGTTTTCAAATACGAGTATTTTCATTTGAAAATCACCATCTGGAACGCAGTTATGAGGAATATTTTCCAGATTTTCAAGAAAGGCCTTTTTTCTAACTAAATTTGTAAACAGCGTAAAAAAATCCTTTAACCTTGTTTTATTTTCAGATAAAGATAAAGCTTACTCTGTGTTATATATAAGTAAAGCACAAATAATAGTGTAAAAATGAACATATTATAGTTTCTGTGTCAAAACACGAAATGACAGAAGAAAAAACGAGACAAATAAGTTGAGACAAGGTAAAAAGTAGTTTTTCCAATAAGGAGAGAGAAACAAGCTATAACAAGATAATCAGATAAAAGAAGGGAGCTGAGAACCAGGTGTCTGGGTGTAGGGGGAAAGCCCCAGACATGCAAGGTGTAGAAATAAAATTAAAATAGATTTCCAAACATTTGGAAATATTGGTATAGTAAAAAGACTTGTGGTCTATTAATTTTATTTCATAAATTTATACATACTAACCAAATATATTTAAGGAAATTGATAAATTTTGACAAATAAAAAGTAATTGATTCTTCGACTTCTCTAAATAGTTTTCTTAGAACTTTCTTTGTCAGTTGACTAGTTAAAATAAATCCTACGCATTTGCTGATAAATCTGAATATAATCGAAATAGCGAGGAAATTGATATTATAATTGGATTTTGGAAAAAAAAGCATTTTTTAAACTGCTTTTAAAGGTAAAATCCCAGTTCCCGTTTAATTGAAACATTTTTTGCTTAATAAATTTTGCTTAACATTTTTTGCATTAAAACTTTTTTGCTTAATTGAAACATTTTTTGCTTAATAATTAGATTCAATCCAATAAAATAATTAAATGAAAAAATAATTTAGTTTCTAATAGGTGAGAAACATGCTAAGCTTCTTTTTGCATGACAGTATTATTAATAATTTCCCGCATGAGAATTATTAATTATATAAAACTTTATTCGACTAATAAATAATTATTAAAAAAAATAAACTGATGGTTTATTAGTTTTAGTCAAGTGTTTGATTACTTTTGCCGTTGTTGCTCAAATAACAATTTGTCCCACTTAAGTTTTTTTTAACTGTAAAATCATATTGGAGAAATTTGTAGTTAAATTATATCTCATTAAAATTGTTTCAAATACTCCATTCTCCATTCACAGCTGTGTCATCATTTAATAGAAATACAAGATACTAAGTGATTACGTAATAATATTAGGTAACGAGAAAAGTTAGTAAAAACTCAAATTTTATTTCCTTATTTGACAGAATGACCATAAAAATTACTCACCTGCCTATTTTAGTTACAAATGTTTTTCATCAATAGCTAAGAGTAGTAATAAATTGATAGGAAAAGGATCTGAAATGTGAACCATTACAAGGTAAGCACATTTCTTATGATTCAAAGTTTAGATAAGAACAAAACTTTCGTTTATGTTATGGTTGCAAAAAATACTTGAAGAGGACTCCCTGTGACGTCATAGAATTTGTGCATGTAAACTGTCGGAGCGCCGCTCCTTCACAAAAGGATGAGCCACCCTTTTTCTTGAGTTCTGAATTTGTACACTATATGTGTGCATTGGAGCCACGAGGACGTAGTGGTTAAGGTACCGAGATGTTATTGTGAACGTCCAGGTTCTAACCTCGGTGGAGATCGGTAAGTATTAATTTATCACGAAAGTAAAGTTGAGCGGTGTGCTATTTTGACGACATTGCAACTAATGATGAATTTGTATTAGATTTCTAAAACAATAGTTTCAATTTATACAATGTTAACTCTATGTATCTTTAAGTCTATAAGAGTTAATATTCTTGTCTTAAAATATCCTTCATTAAAATTAAATATATGATTTTTTTATTATTTTGGTAGAAGAATAAATAGAGCGGTGACGGTACAGTAGTTAAGGCACAGTAGTAGGATCGGGGTTAAACTTCCGGTAGTAGCTTCTAACCTACTTAACTTCAGATCAATATGTATTAGCTGAGCCGTGATGGCTCTGGGGATAGAGCGTTCGCCTTCCAAAGAGGCGAACCGGGTTCGAATCCCAGTCGATACGAATTCTGTATCCTGCCTGCATTGAGCACAGTGCTGACGTGAAATATACTCATTGGTAGACGGATCATGGGTTAGAGTCCCCTTGCCGTCAAGCTAACCGTGGGAGGTTCTCGTGGTCTTCCTCTCCATTTAACGCAAATGCGGGTTAGCTCTATCAAAAAGTCGTCCACGAAGGCAAATTTCTCCCAATACTCGATGCAGGAGTTCCCTTGTCTTCTGGATTGGGTTCATAATTACAAGGCTACAGAGTTGAACATTAGAAGTCGTAAACCCATAAAATTGGGTCGACTGTTCAACGACGGTTATAAAATATAATATATGTACTAGCTTGTCTGGCATATAAAGGTAGCGCAATTTTACCATCATGCCATTGGCCTTAACCTCTATGATCTCTGGTCGCGAACTAGCTGGTCAAGGTATGATAATAATTTATTTCCACGCTTTCGATACTTTTGATATTCATTAAGCGAATGTATCAGGCTTCCCAAAAATGCCCGACAATTTGAAAATCTTTAAACGAAAAACAGAATAAGATTGAAATGTAGGACTTGATGCATTCTGATTACAGAAGGAAAAATTTTATTGTCCCTACGTTTCATAATTAATTACGACGTTCAGCATCAGACAACACTATTAACTGAGAAAAATTAAAAAAGCATTGCTTTCAGATCCATAACAAATTATTTCAACTGAAATATTTGCACGGGTACTTGTTTATTTTGTTCTTAGCTGCCCAACGTTGTTGTTACAAGTGGTGTTTCTTTTTAAAACTTTAATAGTTGTTCTCAGTTAGCAGCGCCATCTGTAGATCAGCATTGTCGCTAACGTTTTGAATTAAACGAGAAAAACTAATTAGTTAACTAAGCAAAACACCGAACATTTCTAGTTCCTACATCTTTTCTTTCATTGATTTCTCAACTCAACTCGTCTGTCATTTTTGGGGAAGACTGTCATTTTTTTTGTATCGGTGGTCGTCACTGTATCAGCTTTCAAAAGATGTGATTAAATGTTTGGACATTGCAAATTAGTAATCAAATTCTCGTGAATAAAGGATATATAACCAAAATAATTATAATATAAATCTTACAAAAAATCCTTACATATTCATAAGAATGCATACTTATTCACTACAAGTGGTTTAAAATCTCAACCATTTTATTTATTTAACGCGAGTAATATTTTTTTTTATAAATTAGCTGAAAAAAGGGACTTGTATGATGAATGCAAATGTGTAAAAAGTGAACTAATAAGAGGTCAATCACTAAGATAATAAAAACTTTACTGTACAAATAGAGAACAAAACTACACACACACACATACATAAAAATACCAGTAAAAAGCGTATAAAAGGAATGATAAAATGGTAGGTGAAAAATTAAAAACTAAAATATATTCATAAATTAAGTTTGGACTTTTCATGAATGGTTGGAAAGACTACTTTTTCTCCTTACGCTGTGCACCTAGATTCAAAGTCTTCTGAACAGTATTCTAAATAAAATAAAATAAAAAATTAATTCCATAAAACTCGTCAGAAATTCTAACAACATAATGAAACTACATATGATGAAAGCTTTTTTAATTTTATATTACTATTGATATATTTTATTACAATGGTAATAAATTAATTTCAATAAAATGGGTTAAAGCTTATATATATACACCGAAGAGCCATTACACTATGACCACCCTGCTAATAACATGTAGGACCACCTTTAGCCCTCAAAACTGCTAGCAACCGCCGTGGCATTGATTCCACAAGGTACTGATAGGTAGTCTGAGGTATATGGTACCAAGCGCTCACCAACTGGTCCTGCAATTCCCTCACATTGCGAGGGGGTAGCGTGGCAGCACGAATTTGGTTTTTCAAGTAGGACCACAAATGCTTTATTGGATTAAGTTCAGGTGAATTTGGGGGCTAAGACATGACCTGAAAGTCACTGGAATGTTCCTCGACGATTCGACCCTTATGACATGGTGCATTATCCTGTTGGTAAACACCATCCCCCGCAGGAAAAACTGTTGCCATGAATGGGTAAACCTGGGCGAGCCCATTGTTATAGATGGAGGGTGGTCATAATGTAATGGCTTCGGTGTATATATGTATACATAAGCTTATATATAGCTTATATGTATACACACGCATATATATATATATATATATGTATATATATATATATATNTTTTGCTTCTGTAATTCTCACAAGAGTTCTCCCCATTTTTGCTTTATTTAATATTTACTATATATATATATATATAAGTGAATAAATTTGTTAATATTAATAGAAATTTAATATTCATAAATGGTTAATATAAACCTAAAACAAACGAAGAATGGTCACGGCAAATTGGCCATTTATCATTTTATCTTTAAAAATTTAAATGGTCTTCTTAAAATGTCCTAGAAATATTTTTGTTCTATTACTGAAACGTCATTATGTTCAACTTTCCTAAAAGGATTTTTTAAACCTTACGGTTATTTTTTAAATTTTACTCAAAATACTCAAAACTCAAACTGGTTTTCAAATTTATAGTTCTTATAATTACACATTTAGTAAAGATACAAAACTGAAAAGTAAATTTAACCGAATAAATGATTTATACGCCCTTCTCTAAGGTATCATGATAAAATCGCCGAATATTTTTCACAATTACCAAATTTTAACACTACCACTTTACTACTTTCACTGCCTTACAGCATGATAATATAACAATATTTTATTGTTAATTTTGCCAGAATCATTATCAAAGCGATTTGATAAAAGTTACCTAGCTCTTTGGTGTTCCCAGTGAGCGAGAAACACTGTAAATTACATCATATTCTGTTAGTTCTGATTGTTTTCACTTTTTTTTTTCAGTGCGTTTATTTCAGTGCTACATTAAAAGAAAATATTTTTCCTTAAACGTGGTAGTATATCTAAATGTGCAGATGTCTTAATTGCTATTGATACTCACATCCCCTCTAAATGTGAAAGATTTGCAAGAAGATTTGGAAAATCCCATAGTTACCAAACGATTGTTTTTCTTATATTATTTAAAGTTGTGCAAATCCCTGACGCAGCATTTTTCATAATTCAATAAAATTATGATAAAAGCTTATCTCTAAAAATGTTCTAGAATCGGCATTTGTACGTGGTTGATCATCCACAATGCAAGATTGTATCTCTAAAAAAGATGCTACGTACCAAATTAAAATTCAACTTCAGACTCTTGCATTTGAAGGGATACACAGATTACTAGTTGCTTTAATGCGTATTTTCATAAATAAACTAGGTTGCGGAATAGCAATGAAGTTAAAATTTTCAAGGGCATTTAGTAAAGAAAATGATTTTTAGTCTGTGATAACAAGAAGCCACAACTTCTTAGGTAACAAAGTACAGGTGAAAGTTTTCAAAATAAAAGAAAATAAACTTTGCGTTTCGGTAAGTGAAGTTAAAACTATTATTACGCAAACTATTATTGAAGATCCACTAATAGTTTTCCTTCATGAAAAGCATGCCAATGCAGTGGAAATTCCATGGGTAAGATATCTTTAAAAATGTTGCATTATATACATTATAAATACACGCATTATAAAATAAAATAGAAAATTATTATCCTCAATAATTTTCTTTTAAGTATATATTATATTCATCTATTTACCTTTTTGAACTTAAACTCAATTTCAAAAAACTTTTTGATGCGCAGTTTTTAAAGGCCACTCATAGATTTTTTAATAATATTTTTGTATTAAAATACATTCAAACTATATAAAGGCACTTTTGCTTTCGATTAAAAAGCATTTGTATTCCTATTTCTCAGAACACATCTGATTTAGAGCCTATAAATTAGAAAAAAGCTGTTTTGACAGCATTTTGCTTGACAAAGCCCTTATGATTTAAAAAGAACTCAAAAGGAAGCACGGAACAAGATTGAAGATAATTGTTATGTGGTAAAAGTAAAACCTCAACATTTAGTTTCGATTTTTTAGTGTAACCTTTGAAAACTAAGTCTTTTTATAGTGGAGAAAATTGAAATTGTTTCATACTTTAATACTGAATCTGACAATTCGATTATGAATACCAAATTTTTATCTGTTTGTATTTATGATGTACATTGATAATTCGCTCTTACATTTTTGGAAAGAATAAATGGATGAGTGTTGTGTAATAATATATTCAAGATTACTTTTATATGAAACTACTTATTAGTTTAGCTTGATTTCCGATGAAGCGATTAAAACACATTCAACTATGATAAGCTAGTAATTAGCACATTAAGCGCCTCACATATTGTTAGGCAACGCGTGCTGCTTAGAAGATCTCGTATTGTGGTATATCAATACGCAGTTAACAGATTGAAATAAACAAAAATATGTGGGATTAAAGCTATGAAAACCAATTTAATTGTAAAGTGGTATTAGAATTCATTTGTGTTTGTTAGGAATCCCCTTTTAGTTTTACCTTAAAAAATAATTGTTTGCAAGATTTTAATCTCTCCTTTGCTCTGATTGACCTCGAGATCAATTGGTAAAAGTTTGATTAAGTTGTTTTCATTAAAATAATAATTTTCTACCTCTTATATAATTATTTAATTTTCTATAAAGTTTTAATAGCTAAAAAAATTCTGATGAAATTACTTTACTGTGCAGTAATGGCATTTCCGGTAAAGCAAAAATCCATAATTCTAGTTAATAAAACTAAAATATACGGTATTTAAACCGTTCGCATGTTAACGGTTCACCGGACAGTATGGTTTTCAAAATTATAGTTTTTATTACCATACGTTTAGTAAAAAGGATAAAATTGCAAAGTAAATTTGACCGAAAATATTATTTTTATAAGGTATCATGATAAAATTACAGCACATTTACCAAATTTTATCACACATTATAAAATCATATTTAACTATTACTTTTACCAAAATCATAACCAAAGCACTTCGGTAAAACTTACTGAGCTTTTTGATGCTCCCATAGAGCCAAAAACACAGTTAAATTTGACATGTTTTCGTAGTTTTTATCATAATTATTTTTCTCAGTGTATAAAAACATGTAATAAGAGTGGTCATTATTGAACATTCTGTGTTTAAAATAGGTAAAATTTTACTCCACAGCAAAAAAGTCCCCATCAGTAAAAGTTTTTTTTTAAAATTTTTGTTAATAAATTAAGAATTAAAATGCCATTAGGTTTTCTACTTACTGTTTCCTTTTTCACAAGGGCAGAATTCCATGTAAAGATCTAGTTTTACTTGGCTAACCGAACATCTTTCATCCTTCTTAGTTTTTCTGCTGCATCGTCGTTTGCCGTTTCTTTCTTGAAGGCAACAACCGCTATGGCAATCGAAACTGAATTGACAAGGATCACCATTTTCTCGATCAGTCTATGAAGAGACGGAAAAAATACGTTTTGACAAGGTTTTCAACAAAAAAAATTAAGAATCAGGCTTAAACATGGAGAAACTGTAGAAAAATGTTCGCATAATTTTAAATTCTTTATTGGAATGATTTAATATTTATCAGATAAATTTCTTTTGGGGTGGGATAGTTTTATGAAAAGATTTTTAGAAGAGGATGTAAGTCAGATAATAATTATTCAAAAATACTCATACGTTTTAAGTTTATTTAATAGAACTAAGTGGCACTACAAACTAAATCAATGAGAAAAAACATGCATTCAAGATAAAAACATAATCAAACATACTTTAACCCCTTCCTTCTCGCTCTCGTGAAAGTGACGGGGTGAGGTTTCGTCCTCTATTTCTCGCTCCCGTGATATTTCCGAGCTGGAGTGTTCAGTAGTAACGCGCCAATAAGAATAAAACTAATTCATTTCTTTTGTCCGGAAAAATTTTTATTTCTCATTTTACACACCAGATCGCAGCACCAGGATATTTTTAAGGTAATTGTAGATAGTTAGTTTATTTAAAACTAGATGTCAGCACTAATCAAATAGCACTAATAAAAAAATAGGCACTTTTATGACCGTTTTCTTGAAAATTAACCGATCGTTAAGGGGTTAAAAGAAAGAGATGTGAATATGACAAGACTTAAAAATGCATTTATAACATTAATTCGAGAAACAAATTGATATTTTAAACTCAGAGAGATGGTAAAATCAATTTTTTAAGTTCAACACTTTTTGCTTGATTATAGTCAGTGACCGGCAAAAAGTATTCTAATCACTGACGAGCGGAGAAATTTTTTATTGTGTAGTTTTGTTATTTTTCGTTTGAGAGTGCGTGCTTCGACAAAAATTACATCATTTCGTGCCAAAATGATTGTTAAAAAAAATATAGCTCAAGAACTGTTAAATTGTTATAAAAGAGTTAAATTTTTAAGAACATAATGAGTAGAACAAAAACAAAATGGCCTGGATAGTTTTGGATATAACGATTGGCACGTCATATACTATATTGCTCATTACATGATTAGTTCATCACCTAATATATTTTAATTAATTAATGTTAGTCATTTATATGAAATGAGACAAAACACATAATTTCTTTTGAATAAACATGTATGTTTTTTGACGAATTATGATTTTTCTAAAAAACAAATGTGACAACAAAAACAAGAATGCCGTTTCCTTTTATCAAAAAACTTGAGGCTCTACACTGCGTCTAAGCTTTTTCAAAATTTTATGATTAAGTCTTTTCGTTTTTCTTTCTCGTTTTAATAAATCATGATACTTTTCAGGGAATCAGGTTTGCACGAACTTAGAGTGTTTGTGAAATTCCTATTATTACCCCTTAGTTTTTTTATGAAATTATTATGTTAATTGTAAGAATAATAAATTATTTTTTAGATTAAAAATATTTTAGTTTTTTTCAAGAAAAAAAATATTATTTTCAAAATTATTCTGGCTTTCTTCTAACTATTATTAAAATAGTTGAACTCTAAGAATTAAGCAATCATTTCAGTTCAAAATTGCATATTGTTTTACAAAACACTTCTTTTCATGAATAGTATAATTAAAAAAAAAATTTTTGAGCAAACTAAAAAAGGCCAAGAAGAACCAAAAGTAATTGTCCAAGCCTCCTTTTTTATATTAAAAAAAATCGTCACCTCATATTTGACAACTCGTTACTCGTAAACAGAATGTTTAGCTTTTTTTTTCTTCTTTTTTATTCGAACTGGTTTTTCTGGACATTTTTTCGATTATTTTCATTGGTTTTAGATGACAGAACACGCTTCATTTTTCTAAACAATTAATAACACAGGAAATTTAATTGGAGGTGAAGTTCAAGGTTGCTAGTGTGATTCTTCGACGCAATGGCCTTTTTACTTTTTTAAGGGCACGATTTTTTTCACTTAAACAACCTCAGATTTTTTTTTTTAATTTTCACATTTCTTATTAATATTTCATTTTTGTTTTAACACTAACAAGAAAACAAAAACTGAAACTGTTGAACTTATATAAACAATGAATGATTCACAGAACGAAAGAAATCCACGCACTCTGAGTAACTTTTGGTCTAATGATCAGGTTTTTACATAAAGATGCAAGTTTAAAAATTTGATGGGTTGGTCAAATTAATCAGTGCTGATAAGATTTTAAATAGTGAAATTAGAACCAAAATATATATTCTCTAATACACATAACTATATTTAACGAGTTTGAATTTTTGACCCTAAAAATATTGAGGGTAGCTACAATATGGAATATATGGTCAAAATAGTTTACTCTGGAAGTTGTCAAAAGTTATGGTAATTTTACTTTTAACATATTACGCCTTTTCTCCATAAATATTTATGTCAATCAGAAAGTAATAAAAAAATATAAAATTGATTTATAGAAAGGTAAATATATGAAAAAATTAATATTTGATAACTATATTTTTTTATTTACTTTTTAATGATCGAATTATACATATTTGAATTATAAGGTATAAAAGTTTTTGCATCATCATAAACCAGGTAGTTTAAACTGAAAAAAACCCAAGTTTTGTAACTTGAAAAGTTATTTAGCATTTTATAAGCTAACTCGCCATAAGATGAAGATAGCTTCTTGATACGTGAATATCCAATCATTAGATGAAAAGTTATTCAAAAAGTCTCATTCTTTACTTTAACAATTATTTTGAAGGAACATTAGCTGCGTTAAATATGTTAAAGAAGAGTAGAAAAGGGCATTGTACTCAAGCACATATAATTTACAGAAATATTTCTCGTTGTCATGTCAGAAACTATCTTAAAATTTATGTAATAATCATGACTAGACCATGTGAAACTGATAATTAAAATGGCTATGCTACTCATTATTCAAATATTTAGTCAGTATTTAGTTTATTCATCGTCAATGACAAAGCAATAAAAAAAAAAAATTATTTTAAAGATTTTTAATTTACTTGAAACACTGTAAAATGGTAAAAATGGTTAAATAGCAATTTAATTGTTAATTTATCATATATAAACCATAACAGTCAAATAACCATAAAAAACATGATATTAAAAATGTTAAGTGTGAGAAAAAACGTTTTTAAGTTTTTTTACTTAATGCAGTTTAGCAACCCGAGTGTCAATCTCAAGACCGGCTGTACAGGGGTTCGAATCCCTGCATTGACACCACACTATTTCTTTCATTCCTTTAATACACGAAGTCTTACCAATATCCTGCACTCTTCAATCGGTGACTCTGAACTATTATAATACGAAACTATCATTCGCCCATAAATGGCACAGAACCACAGAGCTTCTATGTCCATTTCAATTTCAATTCAACTATATTTGTTGTAAATGGTTACAAAATATAATATTTTCGGATTTACTGTTTCTTAACCTTATAAGTTGTAAACGGTTTCAAAACCGTAAAGGTAAAAAATGCTGCTAAACATAAGCATTATGTTTAATAGGATGTAGAGACTGCTGCAGGTTATTTTACCGTAATTTTTAGAATGAAAATTGTAAAAGTGTAGTTTTCCACTGATCAAAGTGTCAATTTTAATACTTAAAATTTTTTAAAAAGTATAACCATTTCCAAAATAAATTTAAATAAATTACACTTTATTAAAAGTGACTGAAATCACAAAATACCCAAAATGTATATAAAGACTGTAATGTAAAAAAAGGTGTTAACATAACTCTTTTCGTTTTCATGATAAATTAGGAATAACATAATTAGTTCCAAGTATATATAGATTTTATTTGACAAAAACAGTTAAACTATTTTTGCATAATAAATCTTTATTAATACTTGCTGAAATGTGATTCACGCTAGCAAACAGCAATAATGACCTCATGAATGCTACACATATTTTGAAACATTTGAAAATCATGAAAGTATTTAAAATATTTCATTATGAATATTTTTATTTGCTTCCTTAAAGGGAAAAAAGTGTAACCACCATTAAAACAGTGGAAAACGTTTACAATGCTTCCAAGAGCCATGTTGTTGAAAATATTGTGTAATATATTTATTAGATATCAAATCAGTCCTTAATTGAAACAGAGAAAAGTCTAAATAAAAAAGTTAAAAGTATAATTATGTCAACTTCATTCATAAAATCATGTTTATTAAATTATACTTTATCATGTACTCATAATTTACTAAACATAAGAAATCTTAACATGGCACTTTTTACCCCAGATCACACTTATTCTATCCTTCACACTTAACAGGCTTAAACAGTTTTTATTAATTAGTTTTTTTATTTATTAATTTATTTATTTATTAATTTTCTTATCAATTAAGAAGGTTCTTTCTCTAATTAATTGTACAAAATTATTGAAAGGCTTGAAAAAATTAAATTTTTACCCAAAAAAAAAATATTTTGAAAGAAACTAGAAATTCAGTCATATTCATATTCAATCATAATATTATATTTCTAAAATTATATAACAGAAACGCTTTTGAAAGCCTATAAAAAAGCATGTATTTTTTTTCTACTGGGGGATTTTTTTTCTACTGGGGTTTCAGACGCAAAATATTCGACATGTTGTGTTCGGTTAGTAGTTTCATATCAACTAAAGAATATTAAAAAGATAATTTTAATTGATAAATTAAATTTAATTCAGTTTAAAATTAACTTATATGCAATTTTTTGCCCTAGATTAAAACTCACGCAGCATTTTGATTTACTTCAAGCGGTTAATGTAGAAGATTTAGTGATTTAGTATTCATACATTATACATACGAGTACTATTTTAAATTATTAAAAAACTTTTCACGTACATCAAAAGGAAAAGACAATAAATTCTCGATTCTGACTAACTTCTTTTATATGTTTAAACAACAAACAACTTTTTATCGTGACTACACTTTTAAATATCCTATTTGACAGAATACTTTAAAAAAATACATATAAATTGAAACTTCTAATGGAAACTTAAAACGACAGAAGCGTTTTGTCCATTTTATCATGATTAAACAAAGGGGAAGCAT